TGATATCAATTCATCATAAAAGTCATTTTGTATTGGTTGTTTAAATCCTTCCTTTGATATCATGATGTTCAATGGATCAGTTTCTTTTAGTATGTTTGCATCCAGTATGGATTACTTGAATAGTCCCATTAAGTCGCAAGCGTTTGGATAATATACAGATGTATTAAAAACAACGTATATATAGAATATCATATTAATTAATTACAATATAAAATAAAATTTCATGTTTTAGTTATTTATTACAACTTTGTTTAATAACTCGTTACCATGTTAGCAAACCTCAACAAATCCAATTTTATTATCACGATTATCCATCACTAACTGGTATAGTTTATGATAGTACACTTCAACGACTATATGTAACTTAATGGAAAATAATAATAATAATAATAATAATAATAATAATAATAATAATAATAATAATAGTAAAACTAGTCATAATCATATTAATAATATAATAGATGAAAATTTATTTTTTTGATAAATGAAAAATCCAAAACAAATAATACACAATTAATCATAACAGTATGATCTCTATTCGAGTTACAATTTATTTGAATAGTGCATGTAAGTGTGTGTGTGTGTCTCTCTCTCTCTCTGTGTGTGGAATAAAACCAAAGTGAAAACATATACCCCTAGTTACTAGTACTGAATATCTACTAGATATATATTTATGTGTATATGTGGCAATTATAAAGCTAATATTTTATTTAATCTTTCTTCTTATAATCATTTTGATGTCTCAGTATAAGCATAACTACAAATTATGTCTTTGTATAATAATGAAATGAATTCAATTATATAGTTTTATCTATTTCATGGACAATAGTTAAACATACATAATTGTTGGTATGTATTACTGATTCTTAATTGTACTCTCATTAACAGTTTGGCTTTTTTTTCAAAAAAAAAACAACAAAAACTTCCTGTCTGTGTTTATTACACATTCATGTCATTTTGACCAAATAAATGATCTAGAGAACAAGGCAACAAAATAAAAATTCTATTTATTACTATAATCTATTATGATAATACAAAAAGAAAACAAGTTCTTATCTAAACTGTATATAACGTTAGATAAACACAGTGTATATATGATGATAATTTGTAGGTGATTGGAAAATCAGCTCAGTTAGTTAAATGGAAATATCAAGCACCTGTCGACATTCATATAAAGTAGTAATTCATTTAGATGATCAATTAAGACATACATATACATGTATATAAATAGACATTTGTATATATGTATCCATACAAACAAACAAACTATATAATAAGTTAAAATAACACTACTTTACATTTATCATCTTTTAGTAAAAATTGAAGGAGACGAATAATAAGTCTACTAATAAAAATAGAGAAACAAAATATTGAAACCCTAGATTTTGACTCAATCACTTATAGACATGAAAAAAAATATGGTGATAGAATAATAATAATACGTTAAATTAAATGAAAAAAAAGTATAGAATACAATTTTGGATTGGTTCCCAATATTATTTGTTTTCAGTAAGTCCTAATTCTACTGTGCCCACCATTAGTATGTCTATATATATATATGGTAGAATTAAGGATACAAAAACATTAATTCATTTCAAATCATTTTGAGAATGGTCTTTCGAATTGAAGGTAAGTTAACATTAGATTATTTAATTTGGTTACATAATAAAGTAAATCACATACTGAAGTGGAGATTATGATTCTTTGAATGATAGAATATATATATATATATATATATGTAAATAGAAAGTACAGATATATTATGTTTGATTTTAGATAATAAGGCCTATTCTATAAACATAAATTGGTTTGATATTTGTCATTGATTACCGTTGTTGTATATCTGTAATGAAACAAGACTCTATGCTTTGTTAAGAATTCAAGCCAAGGTCATTTAGAACTTATATTTTAAAAAGAAGAAATATTAGTTTCTTCGTTAGAGAACACCGACTAAATAAATGAACAATATATCAAATTGTTTACTTTAATAGCCGAATTTTATACTTGATCCACTAACTTTTATCGAAAGAAAATAATTAATATAACATATTACGAAATCAAAATTGATTTTCTTAGAATAACCTCATAATTCCAATAATCCTGCTAAATATATAAGGATAAACACATTTGTAACATCAGATTTCTATCGATTACTTTCTTAAAGTTTAGAACAAAAACTTGACGTCATGAACTAGGCACTTTTTAACTGTTCAAGAGTGAATTTGTTGTTAAGAGCAAAACTTTTGATTTGACAATTGAATATCATTTTTCTCGGTTACAAAGCATAAAAGAAACTTTTTAATGACTAGTTATAATAAATTTAAAATTTAAAATATTATTTAAAATGTTAATTAGTGGATTGGTTGAAGTTAGATATCAACACGGTTGGATGCCGGCCAGCTCAGTGGTCTAGTGGTTAGGCACTCGCGCGCGAGACTGATAGGCTTTGGGCTCGAATCTCCCGGGGCCGGATCATGGATGCGCACTGTTGAGGAGTCCCATGCTAGGACGAAACGACCGTCTGGTGTTTCCAGGTTTTCCATGGTGGTTTAGCTTAAATTGACTCATGATTTCAACTATTAAAATTTTAAAAATGCTAAATATTTTATTCATTATATCTGCACTTAATAAGAATAGCTTTTAGTTCGGATATGTTGTAAATTTGCAGGATGAAAAATAAGACAGCAACATTAATATACTGATAAATAAAAAAAATAAACAAAATGTTGATTTGAAGCAGTTAGTCCCTTTGATTAATTTCAATAGTGCAATGAGAAGACGAAGTTTATCAGAATTATGTGATATATTTGCGTAGTCCATTTCGAACAATCTGATCACACATATGCTTGTTAAGATATAAGAACACAGGATAGACAGACATCATTCTCCATTGCGAATCATTTGATTGAAACTGGTCATAAGGTTGACATCAAGTTAGCATTTGTAGTGTTATTCAATATTTAAGGACGTAAATAAAGTTTATCGAAGCCTTGGCTATACGGTAATTGACCCCCCCCACTTTACACTTAACCTACCCTGATAATACTGATTTATTATCCAGAGTGGTAATCACATTTGTTTTTGTGTAGTTTAATAATATTTTTTTCTTTGTTATGGCTTACCTTTAACCTGTCTAGTTGACCTTTTAATTTTCATATATAAATGTTCTTAACAAGTGATCAGATTGTTCGAAATGTATTGCGCAAATATATGACATAATTTTGATAAACTTCGTCGTCATATTGCATTATGGAAATTTATCAAAGGGACAAATTGTTCTAAATAATTCCATTCGACAAACGTTTTACGAATAATGAATCGCTTGACTGAATTATCTTTTATTTGCTGAATTGCTCTTTACAATGGATCAGTCAGTAGAATAATAAAGAAAATTACTCAGTTGAAAAATTTTTTCTCTCTAGATATAATAGAGAAAAGTGACTGAATATATCAAGAATATATAGTACTTTTATATGTCATATGTGGTATAAAAACAACAACCCACAATGACTGCAATGGTAATCATTTTCTTCTAAACAACTAAATAAAATAAACTCAAAGTATTACAATCTCGAAAATATAAGAAATTTCTGTTCAGTAATATGAAATACAATACTATGCAAATAGTGCTAAATGTAATTATAACATGATGATATCAAATGAACTTCTTACTATACCTAACATCGATTTCAACTAAGTTGATACAAATTCCAGGCGGCCTATTTGAATATCTGGGCTATCTGTTCCTGCCACCTGGATATTCCAACAAGTTATCTGTTTTCTTGTCTGTTATAATACATTATTATGCCAATCAATTGCATTACTTATTCAATAGCGTTTGTGACAAGTTTACGACATTTCACTATACAAGTTACAAAACAGTCCAATCAAATGCACCGTGGTTGCTGGCAGTATGCATCGAAAAAATATGTATATTATTCAGATGTCGATTCCTGAACTTCTAACATCTAGTTGGCGACCACTCAATATTTATCTCAAGGGTCGACCAAGAAATAAGAAAAAGAAACTTGTTGAAATACATTATGCTGAGAATTCTCTATTGTACCAAAAATATAATATTGAATAAAGTCAATAATAATAATAATAGACTCAAATTGATAACATAATGATCAGCTACCACTAGCGTGGTTGTGTACAAAATTGCCGCTCCTTTTGAAGTACCGATCTGGACTTTGATCAAGCTTTTGTTTGCGATAATCTTACCTTACATTTCAGTGGTCAAAAAATTCATCGTCCTAAATGGTTCGATGTCAGCAAATTGACTGCAGCTTCTGTTACAACTAAATATCAAACCGAGCTAGGTAATAATAGTAATAAACAGTCCTCATTTGATAAAAAAAACACAAAGAAAACATTATAAGCAAAGATGGATAGTGGTTAGCATTGGAATCCAGGACGCGCTTTTCATCCTATTTGGGACTTGTCAACTGGTTGTACCTGCGTCTCAGAGTTGGTGTTCACTCTGGGACTCGCGGCCAGTACCGTTCGCTTCAAACGTCATCGCGTTATCCACTTAGCTACTGAATCCTAATAGCCACTTGCTTGTGCGATTGGGTGAAGTTAATTCGCTTGATATTGTTTTACTTGAATCTTCCCGTTGATGTTTAGAACTGAAATTGATATGTCTCTTATTGGCATACTTCCATTCAATGCGTATCGCCTCGATATTACCTTAATTTCCACTGCTAACCACTATCAATCTTTGTTTATAATACTTGTAAATTAAGACAATATCGAAGCAATATGCACATATGCCAATAAGAAACTGATCAATTTCAGTCCTAAACATCAATGAAAAGATTCAAGTAGAAATAATACCAAATGAATTAAAGAAAGACAACATATTAAGAAAAAACGCATTTCCTTTTTTTTAATTATTTATTCCTTTTAATTCATTCCATACTATTTATTCATTCATTTATTTCATATTTTCTTTATTTCTAGTAAATCTTGGTAATGGATTCTTTTTATTTAAAACAATGAAACGTAAATTTAATCATATACAATCAGTGAATAAATTTAATATTAATAAAATAAAACATATAAAATATTGTCAAAATTATTGTACATATTGTAGTCCTGAACGATATACTATATTAATACATAATGAACATTTAAATCAAATTCATTATACAATGTGTCCATATGATGAATTATTAATTATGGCTAAATCAATTTGTACAAATTTAATGCAAGATAATAATAATAATAATAATCAGAACGATAATAATAATAATGGTAATAATAGTATAACAATTTTAGTCTTATCGTAAGTTTTGAATTTGTTTACTAATATGAAATTTATTTGTTTAATAATTCTCATCTTATTCAAAGACTAATATTTCAACGAAGAATAATCTTGTCGATAAATTCTCTTCAGGCTCTACAATTCATAGATCCAAATTAATAATCCGAAAAGCGGCTAGGTTAAGGGTAAAGGACATCATTTAAAGTTAAAGCATGTGAATTTAAGATTTCAATAGTTAAAATCATGAATCTTGTGGGTGGGTGGGGGGCGAGATCATTGATGCGCACTGCTGAGGAGTCCCATACTAGAACGAAACGGCCGTTCAATGGTTCCAGGTTTTCCATGGTGCACATGGGCTTCAGTATTCTGAAAAAACAAATGGCGTATGAACCAATCGTTGGTTACCGGCTACCATGGGGCTGCATCTCCTCACGATGCTCAACTGCCTTGTGAGTCAGACCTTTAGGTCAAAGGCTTGGGGTGTGGCCCCCTAAGAAAACTACCTGCTTCGGTTCAGGCACCCGGGCAGCACATGGTATACCAATGAAACATAATTTTTCCTGAGGAGACATATAACCATGTTCATAGTTTATCAGTTCAGTAAAATTAACTGTTTTGTTGCGACATTGATTTGCCTGAGGATATATTTCGTGAATGGTATAAACAATAAAGGAATATACTTGTAGCACTGAATTACCTGTTTTTGGGATATTGATTAGATGATAATAGATTGGCTTGTTTGTGTACGGAGTTGTAACCATTTCATTTATGACAACAATAAATTTAGACATTTTTAAAGTTTGAAAAATAACAGTAATTCTGTTTCAGTTCAGTCGTATGTGTTTGAATCTTCCTGTTATTAGTTTTAAGAAGTGGAACTGATCAATATTTTTCGGTATATGTGTATTCTGAGCATATTGCTTCTATAATGTTACCAGTAATTAAAACGATTAAATAGAGGTAGATATTGGCTAACAGTGTTCGTGACTAGTGGGAATATCGAGGCAATCCGTTCAGCGCGCACATGCTCCATAAAAGATTGATCATTGTGGTTCTCAACACTCACGAAAGAACAATTCATACCGTCACAATTAGACCACAACCCATTTTCAAAAAAATGTGACTAACTGTACTCAGTAGTTAAGTGGGCAGAGTGCTGGCGTTTCAAGAAAAAGATTCAGGTCCCGAAGTGAATATCAGGTCTGATACAGGTACATCCAGTTGACAGTTTCAAATAGGACAAAATGTGAGCCCTGAATTCCACAGCCAGTCATTATCCATTTCTGCTTAATAATACCGCTTGTTAGTTAATTCAATTTGTTTTGTTGGTACCAGTACTAATTGTTAGATCAAACTAAACTCCAATTTATGGTCAAGGAAAAATTACAGAAAAAGTATGCATCGTATGGTTTCTGGTAAAAAATTGTAAGTAGTGTAGTTAAGAAAATATTAGGAGTGAAATAGAAATCTCCAATGATATTCTATAATGATCATACAATCTCTCGAATTAAATAAATTTGGAAATCTCGACCAATCGATTGAAGATGATGAATCTACGATTTGACGAGTTGGACATGGAGCCTGAATCTTCTAGAATTTGTATGACGGTAGATCATGAGTGCTAACCACTTACGAATCTCAAACTGAAAGGAAATAACCATCCAGTACTCGCTGGTTTTAAATATTTCTCTAGTTGATATCAGCTTTTGACTAAAGCTATCTCCAAAAAACTTATCACATGAAATCATTCAAAGAGTATTATATTACAAGCATATTCAGTAAACTTATGAAAAAAACTTAGCATACTACTTCAATTATTTCTTTATTTTACAGGATAACTTGCGGTAAACTTTCCAATTTTACAAGATACAACCCTCTTCTTATCAATCGAAACATCAACACTAGTACCAACAACAACAAAAACAATACTACTACTCCTACTAATATAAGTAGTACAAGTCATACAAAATCATCAAATCCCCTTAACACAACAATCTCTATAAATATTCAAACTATTAGTAAGACGATTCAACGAGCTAAACTGGAAAAAGTTGGTTATAAACAATCCAGAACTAAATCTAAATGGGGAATTATTAATTTATCCGCGTGTAATAATATACATTCCGATATTTTAATTGATCTAAATACTTCAGTGAATAGTATGAACGATGGAAAAAAGAATATTTGTTATACTTATGATAACCATTATCATTATTATTGTTGTTATTATTACTATTATTATTATTGTTATCATTATCACTATTATTCATACCAAAAATCATCTTTGTTTACAACGTTATGGTCTGAGCATATCTTGAATAGTGGAAGTAACGATATTCAGCTGGTAAGTAAAGAAACAATTTTTCTTTATTTTAAATTTAATTAGAGAGTTTACGAAAAAAATTTCTTATCCAGTCTCTGTTAAGATAGTTTTCATTGAAACTAATGTCACCGGCAAAATGACGAGTAAAATCATCTATTGTTAGGAAATTTCAGTTATATAGTAGATAATATTGAACTATCGGGAATGAAAGAGAAAATCTAATTAATAAACCTATAGTTCAACAAACAACTTAATCTCAGTTTGACTATTCAAAAGCTTCCTTCAGTATAACTTAATGATCCGTTATAGGATAAAACAACGGTTACTTTTAAAGTAAATTCATCATAATTTCGTGAACAATTTGATTTTATTGCGTAACATGTTTCAGTATAATCCCTGATTTCATTAATTCTAGACAGTGGTTTAAAGTTAATACAGATCAGATACACAAATAATTTTATATGAATTTAATTCCAGTGTCTGTCTTCATTAATAATTTGTTTTTCGGAACAATTCTTTCATACATTATTTACTGGATATTTATGTGAAGTGACATGAAAGTTCAAACTGAAGAGAATTTAAATTCACTTGGTATTGTTTGGCTTGTATCTTCCCATTAAGGTTTAAGACTGCAGTTGACCAGTCTGTTATTAGCATATGTGCATACTGTGTGTATGCCTCAATATTGCCTTAATTCACAAGCTTTTTGTAAGCAATTATGGATAGTGGCTGGCAGTGGAATCCAGGACACGCGTTTCTTCCTATTTGGGACTCGTCAGCTGGATGTACCTGCATTTCGTGACCTCGTTTAAATCAAAACACTCCTGAAATCGCCAGTAAATTCTAAAAGTAGTTTTTTGATATCAAATATCACATAAAATTAATTTTTATAGCTTAAGGGACAAGTTTACATAGAGTTTCATTTATACAAATGGAAATGAGAAGCGAATAATTTATTAGAGTATTTATATTACTTGCCGAATTTAAGTAGGCAAACATTTTATGTTAAACATGAAATCTTAAGAATAGGAGGTATGATAAAATCTACGTATTTTAGAACTTAAGCGGTACCTCAGACGAAAATCAAGCTGAAAAGACTGACACTACAAAGGTAGTGTAAACCTTGCATGTTTCATAGGTAGATATAAAATACCCATCAAGTTGAGATAAGAATTAGGAACAATAAGTACAGCAAACTGATGGAATATTTGAATTCAATCAAAATCATTGTCAAGAAAATAGGAAGGTAAAAGATGACACATTACAGTTACTAACACCGAATAAAGTGGTTGAAACTTGTTATTCCTTATCAGTTATCCAACCGGATATAAAATTTTTATACTGTAGAAGAGTTTAAAAAGAAAATGGAGATTAAATCAAGACACTGAACCAAATAATTGGCTATTTATCTAAGCTGTGTCAGGAAGCTATAACTTTCTGATTAAGGTCTCTGAGATACTCATAATCTATGACAAAAGGAATTAGTTGATTTATTTCAAAAAAACGACAGCAGTAGTGAAGATTTATTCATAGCTTATTTCTCCTAAATTTAGAGTTTTAATACCACTTCATACTTTCGTTTCCGTGCTTCATTCAACACTCTTAAGTGCTTAGATTTTTATAACATTTGATGATATTACATTTAATCTTTATGTTATTATCTCTGTAATCTTATCAGTCTGTGATAATATGACGTACGGTAAGTTGAATCAATACACATTTATATAAACTACTTTATTGCTCGTAGTTGGCAAACAGTAATCTAACTATCGACCTCTAGTATACACATCTCTAATCTAAACTGATCTTTGGTAGTAATAATTTCAGATAAATAAACTAGAACAGTTTTGGAAAATATTACTCTGACGGTATGATCGATATATTACCAATATTTACTTTAAGTAGATTTTGACGTCAAATTGCAATTTGATCGATCAGCACTAATAAGAATTTGACATATATGACATTTGGTCACTATCCAGTAACCAGTCAATTGTAAGAGATCGTGATTGTTATTTATTAATGTTTGTTAGACATAAGATTTCCATATTATTTAGCTGTTAACATTCTATGTAATTGTTTGAGATTAATTAGGAGTATTTCTACGTAATACATCAATTAAACACTAAATTTACATATGCTATAAAAACCATTATAATCAACATTGTTGTTTAGTTAATCTTGTTTAATGTCCTAACTATTTCTCATGTTTCATGTGATCATTCCTATATAACCTAATGAAATAGTTTATATCATACTTTTGGGCATTTCACATCAATGACTATAAATATTCATCATATGATATGTTAGTCATAGGTTACTAAAGAAATTACACGTAAATACTTTCTTAATGCACAAGATATAATGTAAGTTATACGTGGTATTTATAAATATTAGGCCAAATGTAATTCTTATAACACTATCCAAATTAGTGTATTATAAATTATTGATGAATAATACACTAACTAATTTTGTGGTTTAGTTTTAACATAAAGAGATTTTGAAATCAGTTCAATGATAATCATTCATAGGTTTCTCTTAAAGGATGACATTTACAGTATTGTATATGTGTACACAAAATTGGATGGGTATAACTTCAGAAGATTATTATTCTAAATAAGTATCATACTGACTAGTTCGATATTCTTAAATTCATTATTCATTACACTAATTAATAAGAAAAAGTGTTGGACATTTGACTGTATAGTTTATTGAAATGAGAAATAGACAATAACAAAAAAACTATTGTGCAATTATTGACTTTTAAGTCTATAAGCAGCACATATAGTAAAACAAAGTTTGTCTATGATTTCTCATAAAATAATTTCAAGTTTATAAGGACAAGCTACTTGTAGTTAGTTAGACTGAGTTACCTACCAAAAATACGATAGTTTTGTAAATAAATTTGGCATTGGTTTTTAATAGATTTCAGGATTTTTATTTATGATTTTGTATTATTATTGAGTTTAAATAACTTTTATGTTATGAATCAACTTGTAATTTCAATAGTTGAAATCATGAGTCAATTGAGGCTAGACCACTATGGAAAACCTGGAAGCACTGGACGACCGTTTCGTCCTAGTATGGGACTCTTTAGCAGTGCACATCCACGACCCCGCTTCGGGAGATTCGAGCACAGAACCTACTGGTCTCGCGTGCGAGCACTTAACCACTAGACCACAATAGGACGGAACGGCTATCCAATGGTTTCAGGTTTTACATGGTTGTCTAGATTCAACTGACTCATGATCTCAACTATTGAAATGACTAAAATCTTCACAAAACCCCTTCTGATACGAATCAACTTGTATTAACAATATTTGACTTATGCAAAGTTTATTTTACCAATATGATATTATTTGATATACGTATCTGAGTAAAAAAGAGACTTGAATAGAATGCTACAAATGTTTGATAGTTAATTATTTATTGATTAAGATGGTTACATAATTATAACTACTAAATAGAATCAAATTCCGAATGAATATATAAAAAAATACAGAGCAACTGATTGATTTCGTTAATAAAAAAGCAAGAAAATTAACATAGGATGGAAAAAATAGGAAATTGTCTAATTACTCTAGGCTATAAAACAGCTTAAAGATTACCAGAGCAAATTCATGGTTACGACAAACTATTTCTGTACAGATAAATGGGGTTTGAATTTCCGGATAACCATGGTTACTACAAACTTCAGAACTTGTCATTAGCATTTCCTATACAATGTTTTCGAGGCTGTATTGATGTTAGTTCGATGTTTTGTTTATATGTATATATACGAACAGATTATTTGAAATGTAATGCGCAAATACATCACATTTCTCAGATCAAATCCGTCATTTCATTTCTCGATCAAACTTGATAAATAGGACTACTTGCTCTAAACTGATTGATTATTAAATTAACCTATCAATCACTAATACAGAATATTCAACAAATAAAAGTCAATAATATTTCATACACATAAAGGGTGCATTTTTAATTTGGATTAAGTCATCATTATAATTAACTATATATTTATCTTTACTTTAATAAGTTGATTAAATGATGAAATAAATGGCACTAGATTGTTAAATAAATCAACGTTTAGGAGCACTAAATGTTCACTCAATTATCATTTAGAGTCGATTTAGGAAGTTAAGACCTTCTATGTTCAACTTTATGTTTATGTATATGTTAATACTTTCTCATAAAGTAGATAGTTGATGAGAAAATTATCACACTAAGTTAAATAAAGTAGCAAAACAGTATACATATTGTATTTATCAATTCATCATCTTTAATTCTGAAACCATATAAAGGTTTTCAATTATAGTTACTAATCATATGTATATAGAGTATCATGTTAAAAAAACAAGCAATTAATGATCTACACAATTTAAAGAATAAAATAGGAATGATTTCACAATTGTGAGTTAATTAAATGGTGTTAAATAAACACACTATTAGATAATGTTGTTTCTAGAAGAATTGAGTTAATCATCATTATTAATTCAGCTTTATTAAATACATCAGTTAACTAAGCGATGAAATTTCTACGCTTGTTGACTAGATAATAATAACTGAATTAAAGTATTAAAAATACAGTGAAGAAACAACTCCCTGATATCTTAAAAATGTGAGATTACGTGTAATGCAGTTCATTGAAGAGAATCGGTATATTGAGAAGTTGATGTATCCAGTAAGTTTGTTTTTCAATTCAAATATGAACTGATTAAACTATTTGCATTTATTTTAAATTTACACATGGTGAAAACTTTCATAGACTTGAACTATGATACTCACTAGCAACTATTAGCAGTTATTAATACATATTTTTTAGTTAAGTGAATCAGTTTACAACAATGAAGATATGATGTACTATTGATCTCATACATTAGTATGATACACAACAACAAAAAAGAATATAGTTTACATTAAAGACTAATTTTACTTAGACAGCTATCAAGAAATCGAAAGCACTGAATGCCTATTCTATTCTAGTAAGGGACACCTCATATTTCTACACCCATGAGCTTTCCAAGAATCGAACCTTAAATTTTCAGATAACTGAGTTAGTACCCAAATGTTCATATCTCCAAATTCAGTAAGTGCTAGATATTGTGAAACTATCATCCATTATTATTTATAGTACTAAACTCAGTCCCAAGAATACTTCTTATGATAAGTTATTACTTTTTTCGATTTGTTTCTTATTTTAGGGTTCAAAAATACCCAATATTAATTGTGACGCTTATTATACTAAAAAATTTAATATCACTCAAAACTCCAATAAAAAGCACACTGGTAATATGGAGAAAATATTCATAGAAAACGAAACAGATAATGTAAGTTAATGTTATTCTTGTGTTATATAACAATATTTATGTGGTTAAGATACTTTTAGCCATTAGGTCCTATTTGATTGTTTATTTTTGAATAAATTGCTAGTATCACTAATTCTTAGGCATAACACGTTACTCAAAACCAAGTATGGAGACTTGCATTTAGTTACTAAGTTGAATCAGTTAAATAGATTAAATTAATTTTATCAATTTCATAAATCAATCGAATTTTCGCCAACAGATTATCATACAATTTTGCATACCACTAAATATGTAATGATAAAATTACTGAATTTATAAACGTGAACACTTCCTACATGATAAGCAGTATAATGTAACATTCAGTTTTCCTATTTCCACTTTTTACATGAATTTCTAAGAAAATGATCAACATTTTATTATTGAATTCAATTAATATAACTTAAATTTAAGATAAATAAAAAAATAATATATTTATAATATCCCAATAAGTAGAAAATTGGATTTTCTGACGTTTCGTGACTTAAGGTAGGTCACTTCTTCAGAGAATAAACAACCAAATTAAAATTAATCCAAGTTTAAATAGTACAACGTTGTACTACAATTTTCTACTTACTGGGATATTACAAATATATTATTTTTTTATTTATAACAATCAACCCAATGCTCAATTTATTCGAAATTATCAAATCAAACCTTGGTAATGACACCTTTAAATTTAAGATGTTACCTTATGAATGGTTAATAATAATAATGAAATTTATGCATTTGAAGTCCATGCAGTCAACAAAGAGATGATGATCAAGTTTCGAATTATATAGTAATCACATTTTATTGGGACATGTCTGTTGATGATTGATTTTCTCTAGATATGTAATTATTTTTTAAGATCTATCATTTCATATTCAGTTACGATACTACAATCTGACAAAGTGGCACTAATGATAACCATTCAGGTTAATGGGAAATAAAATTCTTCAGACCATTATTATTAGATTGTTGCAATTAGTATTGCTACAAACCTGTGTGATTAACCCTAATCTTTGTTAAGATTAGAATAATCCATCTTTTCAAAGGTCAGGTTAAATCACATAGGTATGTAATAATACTAATTGTTACAAGATAACAAAATATTAGAATTAAAATATTCTTTATTAACCTGTCAACTCAATCATATACAATTAGTTTAAGGTCAAATTTATGAAACAATGAGTAGCTGATTAGGTTCGTTCAGATAATTAAGTTATGAAAATTTAAATGATTATAACAGTTGTGAGATAGTAACTCAGTGAAGACATTGGTGGATGATTCGCTCAATTTCGTGGGTTAGTTGAAGTTAGACATCAATACATCTGGACGCCGGCTCAGTGGTATAGAGGTTAAGTGCTCGCGAGCAAGACCGAAGGTCCCGGCTTCGAGTCCCGTGAGCTGGGTCGTGGATGCGCACTGCTGAGTAGTCTTATAATAGGACGAATCAGCCGTCCAGTGCTCCCATGTTTTCCATAGTGGTCTAGTTTTAATTGAATCATGAATCCAATTATTAACTCCTTTCTGTAAAGTTTGTGTTATGCACTGAATTTAAAAGCAAATTTATCTGGAATCATTTATGTGACCAAAAAATAAAATGAAATAAACTAGTAATCATAAATATCGAGCGATATAAGCTGTAACGTATTGATTATTTGGTCCATGCCTGTAAACTGGCGTGAATTCTGTAATTATTATTTTCAGAATATACATTATTATTATTTTCTCATTAGAGCAAAGTCCAATCTCAACCTACATCTGAACAGATTTATCGCCTTTTTGGAACAAGAGTTTATATATGATAAAATAAAATTCCATAGTTATTTGATTATTGTTACGAGACATGAAGGTCCTAGTTTCAATCTCCGGTGGGATCGTGCATGTGCACTGTTGAGTTCTATAATAGTTCTCAAGGGCTTCCTGGTTTTAATGTTTGTCGAAATTAGGTTGATCTGTGACTATAATAACTTTCACTAGTTTCTACGAACTTCCGTACGGATATCTATCTAATTAAATCTACAAAAAATGGCAAACTGCTATAAGATTGGTACAACAGGAAGATAAGTTCTGGATACAACTCAAAATAATTTTTAGAAATATCTATCCAGTTGATTTACACATTACCAATGTACTTTTACTCTTTTCGATGATAACGAACAGATGATTGAAAAGTTAATCATGTTCAATCATTCCCTATTATTTACTTTATCAATCAATAAAAGTTCGTATACATTAAAGTGTTAAATTTTTACTGTAATCACCTGATAAGGAATAAATGTGAAATCGTGATGGTATTGTGAGGTTGATTTACAATGTGAATATTTTTTTTAGAAAAAAAAGAGAGTAAAACTAAGATTTGATAGGTGATATACAGTTTGAATAGAAGTAACATAATATTTTGACGTCCCCATAGAATTATTTAGATATAGCCGGGTATTTTTATGTATTATGAAAGATGTATAGTTACTAAGGTGTTCATAATTAGCGAATTAATTCGATGTGATTATTTTCCAAAATTGTGATGTGATCATCAGTCAAGTTTTATACTATAATTTGCTTGAGCACTAGATCGATAACATTAGTAGGAACTATGTTATGGTCAATTTATCTTTGCATTAAAGTTCTTGATGTCAGCATTAACCTATCAACTAAGGTTATCTTATTTGAAGATATAAACCAGATTTACAATGATTGGAAATACACTCTGTAATCTCAAAATTGTAACTTCTTTCTCCTATTATACCATCAGTAAATCTAGTAGCTGATAAAGTTGATAATTTTAATTATTATCAGAAAGCGGGTTTTTGTGGAGATTATAGTAATTTAATAGTTGAATTTATGAGTCAGTTAACTCATGAATTCAACCATTAAGTTTTAATTGTAACTAAGTAAAAAGGTGAAGGTCAATTTACTGCTCAATAATAGTCACTAGTTAATATGTAGGACAATTATATGTCGAGACTCCATATGCTTTTCTATGACTACATAATTTCTTTAAGATCAGATCATCTGGAATATCTATACATTTCTGATGATATATTTTCGATCTGAGTTGTATTTTCAGTCAATTTTGCGTAGAGAACTTGATGTAATGTCGGATATATCGAAGAAAATCTTGTCAATGAGAATATTAACATATTAGTCACAAGTACACCTAGAAAAACCTGGCTTTTTACTTAAAAACAATAAAATATTGTTCTTTCACTTAGAATTATATTCTTTCAAGATCTCGTATTAGAGGAGTTAACCTAATTCTCTGAAAATTGAAGCTTAAGCGTCCAAACTCTATCACAAATAGTGTGATAGTTTGATGCTTAGAATGATTAGGCTAGATATCTAGTACAATCTTCCTCAATAATTTTCACCTATACACTTCCGCTTGATAATTATCTTACTTGAAACTAACGAATCTTAATTATGCATTCTTAAATTTGAATTGATATATATGTTGAGATAATTTCATACCCACCTTTTGGCTTGACTTAATCACAATTGAACTACACATTTTGTGTGAGTATATATGGAACGGGGTTTTAACTTGGAACCCAGCGACTGGAAGCCAAATATTTTAATCACTAAGCCACTACTCACTTAAACGAAAAGCACCATCAACTAGATAATCTAAGAACATATAAAACCATACGAAAACTTACCGTGAATTTTGTTGAAATCTTGGACAAGTTTAATATATCTTATATATACATTGCGATAAAATGACATGAAAGTTTGTGTTTCTTTTTTAAATAATAGGAAGTAATGCGATATATGTCTAAGTTTGATTGGATCAAAAACTGTGCTCAAACAAGATCCGAAAACCACAAACCAAATAGATTGGTAAGTTCTAGTGATTATATATATATATGCGCATAAACTATCACCTAACTGGACTCAGTAGCTAAGTGGATAATGCGATGGTGTTTGAAGCGAACGGTACTGTGTACGAGTCCTAGAGTAAACATCAACTCTGGGATTCAGACACATCCAGCTAATGAGTCCCAAATATGACGAACCGTGCATTCTGGATTCCACTGCTAACCACCATCCATCTCTGTTCATAATACTTTTGACTTAAGGCAATATCGAGGCAATCCATACAAGATGCACATATGCCAATAAAAGACTGATCAACTACAGTTCTAAACATTAAAGAGAATATTTATAAAACCAACACAAAATGAATTGAGTTATGCGTGTTTAGTTGTTTGACTGTAGTTTGTGAATGTTAAAAGATTATATATATACATATTTTTAAAAAATGAAAGATTTGTTATTTGTGATTTTAGAAAGATCTACAGTTATCAGTTAATTTACGTCCGCCAGAACCTGTTGGTTGTCAACTACTCCAAATGAATTCAGCACCAGGTGAGTTTAATATTATTCATGACTCTATTAAAAGGATACTAGACATAAAAATAAGACATTATTGAGGAACCAGTTCCGAAATAGTTGTCATTGTGAAAGTTAAAAATCAATTATACTGATCAGCTGTTTTGTTTGAGTTGGGATTGTGGTCTCTTTGTTTTTCACTCAGCATGTTATGGATTGAGAAAAGTAGAAAATTTAATGACGGGGGTTGGGGATGTCACATGATTTTACTTGTTCAAGTTTAGATTAATTTATTAAACATAACTAAACTTATTATGCTTTTCATGATGTAAACACTGTGAAACTATTAGGTCTAGTAAGACAGTATATATACAAACAGTTTTTGCAGTCGGTAATCATTAGCAATAACTGGTAAAAGAATTTACAAAGAGGCAAGATTACGTATCATAAGATTAAAGGTATAATTGACAATGAAGTGGTAACTGAATGGTGATTTACCATAAACCAAAAACTGACAGCCCTCAAATACCCTGGTATGGCCGAGGGTCGGGAGAGTCCGTTGTCCCTGTCGAAATGCTGTCATATGGCCACGTGTATACAGCTACTCCTAAGGAAGTCTTACTCACTTCCTTCTCGTTGTGAGTGTGTTGTTTACGAAATTGAGAGGAATAAAAGCTAATGTCCGGCGCTTTAACCAGGTGGGTGGAAACGGAGGGTCCACCTAGTAGGGTTGGAAAGCCCTGATTCCAAACTAATGGTGCACATGGGCTCCAGGATCGTGAGAGAACAAAAGGTGTATGAACCAATTGTTGGTCACCAGCTACCATGAGACTGCATTTCCTTACGTTGCCCCACTGCCTTGTGGTTTAGACCTTTAAGTCAGACGACCGGGAAGTGGCTCCCTAGGAAAACAACCTGCTTCGGTTTGGGCGCCCGGGCAGTATCACAGCCCTCACACAAATCGAATGTTTTGTGTGGTGTCTCCTTGTACCAATGTTTATGTGTGACTGATAAAATCTGGTTTACTACAGAACTACTCGGGAAAGAGACATAAAAACAAATGGTAGCAAGAGTTACTCAACTTTCGTTTGTTGTCCTCTAAAACCAATGGCAAGTATATCACTGAAACAAGTTTTACCTATCCAACTGCTATGGTTACAAGAATCCATCTTAGCTCGAAATAATGAGCATAAACTATAAAACTAAAAGATTGTCTTCTCCGCTTTGCGCTAGCATTCTAGTAGGATGACCCAAAATAATGGGATGTATTCCTAATTTTACCATTTAGATTAGACTGTCTACTCATAGTCTTTATTTACAAACATAAAACTGAATATAAAATTACAGATCCTAGTAAATGAACTTAGTAAATGTATACCTTTCATGAAGTATGGAGGGACTAGTTGTCGACCTTTTCACATACTTCGTGAAACAGTTGTTTGACAAAATAATAGCGTATTGTAAATTCAGTACCAGACCAGTGCTTACTTACGACTGTCACTACTCCTGGAGGAGCATAGGCCTCACACCAGCATTCTCCATCCAACTCTGTCCTGGGCAATCCTTTCCAGGTGCTATTCATCCTTTGACATCTACTTCCAATTCTCAGCGCAATGTGTTCTCTGGTCGTTATTTTTTCCGTTCCCCTTCAGGATTCCAAGTTAGTGCTTGCCTCGTGATGCTGCTTGGAGATTTTCGAAATGTATGTTCTATCCACTCCCAGCGTCTTTTTCTAATTTCTTCTTCAACTGGAAGCTGGTTTGTCCTCTCTCACAGTAGACTGTTGCTGATGGCATCCAGTTAACGGACATTGAGTATCTTGCGTAGGAAATTGTTTATAAATACTTATAATTTTATGATGGTTGTAGTAGTTCTCCAGGTTTCAGCACCGTACAGTAGGACCGTATTGACGTTCGTATTGAAGAATATGACTTTAATATTGGTTGACACTTGTTGCGAGTTCCACATGTTCCTCAACTTCAGGAAAGCGGTCCTTATTTTGCCAATCCTTGTTTTTACGTCTGCATCGGAACCTCCTTGTTCATCGATGATGATGCTGTTCAGGTACGTGAAAGTTTCCACATCTTCCAGAGGTTCTCCATCAAGTATTAATGGGTTGGTGTTCTCCATGTTGCATCTGAGGACCTTGCCTCTTCCCTTATGTATGTTTAAGTCTACTGATGCAGAGGCTGCTGTTACATTGGCTGTATTCACCTTTATTTGTTCGCGTGTATAGGATGGAAAGGTCAAGTCATCTACGAAGTCCAAATGGTCTAGCTCTATCCTAACTGTCCATTGTATTCTGTGCTTCCTGTCAGATGTGGTTTTCATAATCCACTAAACCACCAGAAGATGAAGCGGGGGAATAAGCAGCCTTGCCTGACTCCGGTCCTTACTTGGAATGCCTATGTCAGCTCTCCTCCATGCACCATTTTGCACTGCAATCCATCGTATGAATTCCGGATGAAGTTGACGATTTCCTCAGGTACACTATGGTGTCAGCGAAGATTCCATAAAGTCCTCCTATCCATTGGCTTGTACATAGTCAAGGGAGTTGATGTACAGTGGCAAGTTCCATTCAACTCATTGTTCAATAATGATTCGGTCTATGCACAACTGGTCCTTACGGAATTCAGTCTGTTGATCTTGAGGTTGGGTATCTACTGAATCTTTCATCCGGTTCAGCAACACTGTTGAAAACGTCTCCTGGCACTGATAGTAGTGTGATACCTACTTAGTTCTCACACCTCGAATCTTCTTTGTTTGGAACATATTCTTCGTGACCAAAATACAGAAACATCTCTCTCGAATCTATCCTTTTCTGTTCAACTTCGGTCCTATGGGTTTCACTGATTCCGAGTACCGTCAATTTGTATCTCCTTATTTTCATAACTACTTCATTAGTCCTCCTAGTATCCCACATTGTCCGGACATTCCATCTACATATATAATTATTGTTGCTCTGGTTGCTAGAAGGGACGCCGATCACATGACTTCCGAAGAATCTCAGCTTTCATCATTAGGCATCAAAATTCTTCCTTCAACTCGGAGGACAGAGTTTAAATTGTCTAATCTGGTTAGCGTTTCTTAGCAAGGTCGTTTTCTACGGGATGTGTCAGCCGACCCCATGCTCAACCCTCCTCATTTACCCGGGCTTGGGACTGGCAGTAACAGTAGAAGAGCTACAGGCGGAAACAGACTAGTGGACAAACTTTAAATATGCCATTGTTGAATCTACAGACGAGCAAATCATGACCATAATAATTGTGAATTCAGTCAACGAATTAGTGAGTTAATTCATGTTACTGACACTTCAAATTTACTTTCCTCTAAAATTTATGAACACTTTTTGTCTATTGAAAAATTTTAGTTACGAAAGGATTGTGAACACTGAATACATGAAGCTATGGTGAAACCTAATTTTATATGTACGAAAAAAAAATACAAAGGAGTTAGACCATAAGGAAATTTCATCAATGGGAAGGAAAAATATTCTCCGACTTCTTATCAGTCAAGATGTATAGTTCAATTATTATGTATCATAAGAAAATCAGATGCAAAAACTAATTTATCTTCATTTTTGTTAAACTTCTTTTACACCGTTTCACTGACCGAATGTCAAACAACCCTTTTATATCTGCATTGTGTATTTATCGCCAATTGGTCCATCATAACAGATACACACCTCCCTAAATCAGTAAAGCGATCTCTGTGCTTAGTCATTACATTAATTGTTCTTAAACTATGTCAGTACAGATCAATCCTGAACTATCATTTTAAATTTGACGAGTGCAAAATGTGTAGCACTGAATGTAGTTGAGATGGTGGAGAAGATTTGTAGCTCAGGTGGATGATTGATTTGTCTTCCTTTGTTATTTCATCCTTAGGTTTGCATAGGATTGATTGTAGCGATTTTGTCAGTCTGTGTGCCACACCTAACCCGAAGGTTTTCAGCAGTCTTGTTGCGGTTTTTGATATGCCTTCTATGTATGGTAGGGCGATCCTTTTGTTGATTTCTGTGCTTGACTTAGGTTCGGATGCTGCGTGCGGTTGGTATTTTTTGACGAAGTTGATTGGGTAGCCGTTCTTTTGAAATACGTCCTTCAGGTATTCCGCTTCATTTTTTCGTGCTTCCAGTGCGTTGCAGTGTGTCCTCGCCCTTTTGGACAAAGTGTGTACGCAGTTGATTTTGTGGGCGAGGACGCAATAGCAGCACGAAAAAATGAAGAGGAATACCTGGAAGACGTATTTCAAAAGAACGGCTACCCAATCAACTTCGTCAAAAAATACCAACCACACACAGCATCCGAACCTAAGTCAAGCACAGAAATCAACAAAAGGATCGCCCTACCATACATAGAAGGCATATCAAAAACCGCAACAAGACTGCTGAAAACCTTCGGGTTAGGTGTGGCACACAGACTGACAAAATCGCTACAATCAGTCCTATGCAAACCTAAGGATGAAATAACAAAGGAAGACAAATCAAACATCATCTACAAAATAAATTGTGCCAACTGCGAAAAACACTACATCGGACAAAGCGGACACTCCCTTCACCTTCGCCTACATGAACATCAATTAGCAGTCAAACGCCATGATACTTCTTCACTTATATCGATACACGTGGACAACTGCAGACACTCATTCGATTGAAAAAATGTGGAAATCTTGGACAGAGGAAATTCCAAAAACACCAGAGAATTTTTAGAAGCCTGGCACTCAGGTCAATCAGCAATCAACAAGCACATTGAAATCGATCCAATTTATCAACCAATCAGGAAAACTGTGCACAAATATAGGAACAAAAATCAAACCAATAGGAGACACAACCAAAACAAAGAAGTAAACAATGACAAATTTAAGGTCAATAAAAACCAATCAACGTCGAGGTGTACAGAACAAGCTGTGAAACGCATATGGGGAAATTCGAACACTTCACTTCTACCTGAAATTTGTGCTGATGTCGTTCAGAAGAATGATGAAAGCTCCACAACCAAACCATCCAGCTCAGAGAACAACACTCCATCAAAAACTGAATGTAGTCTTTGCCTCGCAGAACTCAGAAAACCGTGCATCTTGTCAGCGTCGTCACCTGACAGAACTATGTCTCTAGGTTTGAGTAGGAGTCCAACCTCAGAAAAGTACAGTATAAACTATGATATCGATAAACTCAAAAATTTAGGGTGTAATCAAGCATCCTTAAGAGTTATTGCCCGTTGTCTCTAAGATGACAATTCCTTGAATCTTTATCCAGCTAGGTGGCGTAAAATTGAATTCTTCAAGGAGTACCAGTTCCCTGAAGATTATAGGTACACCTTGATGACGAGTTCCGAATACCACGAGACACGAGTTCAATTTCCTGTCGAAAAACTAAATGTTTTTTTGTCATAATATAATGACTGAGGGGTTATTAGGTCCCATAACAATACTTCCTATCAGTCAATTATGGGAGTATATCCAAGATAGTGTGCATAGGATCTGGATTTATACCGAAATTAGTAAGGCGATAACTTAAATTATTTAGCACTTAAACTGCACTGTGCTGGCAACAAAAACGACACAGTTAAGTGACATTAAAGCAAAAATGTATCCGTATACTTTATAAGAAGTATTTATTTCATTCTAAACGAGTTGATAGATTAACAATGAGTTGTTTTGTGGATTAGCTTTTAATAGACTAGAACTATTTCGAACACTCTGATTGAAGATCAAAGATGGCTTTTAATTTTTAACCGGCACACTGAATTGTATAAGAAATTATGTGAATTCCATAGATGAAGAGAATGTTCTATTTACGAGACAAGAAATCATGACATACTTGGCCACATTAGAAAAAGATAAACTAAGCACTTTAGAGTTCTGTGTTTTAAGAGAAGAAGTGGAAACAGTCTCGTTTCTATTCTACAAAAAACAGCCATAATGTACAGGAGGGGGAAAAGTTAGAAATATATAAAAGGCAGCTAGAAATTTAATTTAAAGAATAACTACATATTCGTCAATTCCGGAAAAGAGATGTGCTACTCGTTGAGAGCGTTTAACTATGGTGTCAGTAATAGATGTGACATCACGAGAAAATGTCTCCAATGTTGATTCCAGGGAATCGTTCTGGGACTGAGTAGAAATATCTTTAGAAAACTGTGAACTTGGAGGAATATGTCTAGGAATGTCGGCAAAAAATAGTGAATTGGAAGACTTCTGATATGATGATGACAGAGTAGGTGAGGTTAAAGTAACATGTTCGGATGTATGGAAAGGTGAATCCATAGTTTGAACAGTTGGGGTTGAGGAGGAAGGCACATTACTCGATAATGGTGTATTAAGTTGTTCAGGAAAGTTGGTACCAGTGAGTTCGCCGGGTTGATCACTGTGGGATGAACGGATTGCTGGAAGACGATAATCAATAACCCAGTTCAAAGCCTCACGACCCTAGGTAAATAAAACAAGTTATTATCAATCTAAAAGAATCAAATTGTAATATATATATATATCACTTATATGAAAGCGAAGTTGATATAACAATTTAAAGAAAGAATAACTGAGATAAGACCAAATTGAAAAAACAAACTATATTCTAATAGACAAACAAAAATGATTTAAGGCTGCTCTCTGCAACCCATTTCTTGACAATTTTTCTATGTGGTTTTTCATACAGTAGATACCTAAACACTAATAGCGAATGTAATCCTAGATATTATAAAGTTTTAAGACAGATAATTTGAAAAATTCAATTGCTTCCCCACCCACAAGTATTGCTTGGCATTATTAAATGTCTTCAAAAAGTGTCAGACAGACATCATAAACATAGGGCCTCGCACAGATTCGTGATGGCTCAATCTGCCACACCAAATCGTCACAACGAAGTGAAAATAACAAAAGAGATCGAGATCATGTAGTATCGATGATATAAGGAACGACTGAATCTTGGGAATATGGTTCAAAAAGATAGTGAAAAGGTACGTTTGAAGGGATCCTGAAATTCAAGAGTGAGAGGAAAACAAGGAGTGAATGCACCTAGACTACGGTGAACAATTCGGGGTCATCTGATCCAGAGTCTCCAACCACTGACCGGAGTTATCACACGAACCACAACCAGGTAGTCTGTATCTACTAACATGACCCAGATCAACAGTCAAGAACCTTAAAGAGTGATAAGATGATTTGGTTTGATTGACTAGTTTCCTTATAGCCAACTTCCACAGCAGACAGGATAGCCCATAGAGGTAAGCAGTGCCCGGGAATGGGAAATACATATCCCAACCACCTTAGCCAATGAAGATCCACAACCTCATCAACCGATTCGCCATATTTACCCAACACCCTATGCTTAACTTCAGCACTGCTCACTCAGTGGTTTCAAAATACCAGAATAAATCTTGACAGACACTTTCCACGCATGTAACCTACAAATATCCTCTATTTTTGATTGTCATTTTTCACACCCAGAGAATAAAATAGAGAGGACTACGGAGAAGCATACACACTATTTGGTTAGCGAATGGACATGTCACCGTCACAAGTGACGAGAGTTGGCAAGCGCCAAGCGGGTTTTTTGAACCCATAGGACACCAACCAACCAGGACTGATGAGACTTCCAAGATAACTGGTGGTCGAGGCACTTAACTGCTTCATTTCCTATCACTAGATCAGATGATGACGCAGCCCAGTTCTGAAGCAACATTTTGCATTCAGAGGAGGAGAAACACATCTCAGACATGCTAGTATTGTTGCTCAAGGAGATAAGAAAACTTTGTATTTTGGTGGGTTGTGACTAGTAAAGAACAAAAGTATCGAGTATGAGGCAGCTATCCACCGAAAACAACTGATTGAAGTTAAACATATAGACTATCGAGTTCCAGTTCAGTGGTCTAGAGGTTGAGTTGAGCGAAACCGACGGTTGTGGATTCGACCCCTGGTGGGGTAGTGATAATGTGCAGCTGAGGAATCCCATATTAAGCCAAAATACCTATCTAATGGCTTCTGAACTTCAATAGATGTCTGGCTTATGTTGGTTCTTTATATCAATAATACTGGATTTTGTCAGTGTCTCCACTAAATAAGACTGTCATCTGCATATTTTAAGTCAATAAGCGGACATCCTGGGGGAAAATCCCCTGACAAATTGGGTAAAGTGTTATTTCTAGAAGAATATTTGCTACAAAATTAAGCAAAAACGGGGAATAGTGATGAACCCTGGAAAACACGTAAGGTTGAAAGCAAAAAAAGTAAAAACTTACAATACATTACACCATCTCACATAAAAAACATATTTTAAGTAATATGACTACTAAGTGTCTAATGTTGCCAAAAATTAGTGCAACTTGGTAACCAAGAGGATGTTTTATACTAGGTTCTCAATAATGCCAATGGAACGGTTAGAGTTAACA